GCAATGGCTCATTGACTACATCAGTGTGCAGAGCATGCAGGCCTGTGAGCCCTGTGCCAGATTGCCCTTCTTGGTGCTGGGCAGTTGGTATGCCAGAAGGCTGTCCACAGCATCTACTGCTTCTCCCATGGGAGAAAACTTAAAGTGATTTTATCAGTGAGATGGAGCTTTGTTATGGTGGAATTTTATCTTCAGGAATAGTGCTCCAATTCAGCCCAAATGTGGTGAGGTTGACCACAAACTGAACAAGAAGTTGTTCAGCAGAGGAGCACAAACCACAAAACAAGCTAAGTTCAGTTTGTGGTCAACCTCACCACATTTAGGCTGAATTGGAGCACTATTCCTGAAGATAAAATTCCACCATAACAAAGCTCCATCTCACACTGATAAAAGTAGAGTTTCTGTCTAGAAACAGAAACATCCTTTACCACAAGGAGCGCAGCACTTGTGTGTACAATGCTGACTTCTCATGGAGAAGTGGTGCCTGATGGTGCAACCATCAGGTGTAGTGTGGTGTGCCATGTCACCACAGGTGACCAGTGACACAGCCCTGCAGGGTTTATAAGGTGGTGACTGTAGGGTGTAGGTAAGTTTTTTCTTCTCTCTCATGCAAGAGTGCAGAGAGGTTCTACAACATATACACATGATGGATTCCCATAAGGAAGCTAAGGTGTTACTACTGGAGGAGTGGAGCTCAGTCATGAAGCTGCCTATGCATCAGCTTAGCCAGCTGTGTGAGCTCCTGGGTTTGGAACATAAGTGGACCAAGTCAGTTCAGTTGGAAGTGATCAAGGAGTGGAGAGAGTGGAAGCTGCATGAGAGGGAGGAGTGGCTAGAGGAAGGGTGTGTAGAGGGCCTACAAGTTAGAGCAGAGCCAGGTTGGGCTGCAGCTGCTTCTTCATCTTTGTCATCCTCAGCAGCATCTCCTGGCGGCGTGGCCCATGATGGGAGCGTGTCTGCTGCAAGAACCAGCAAGTGGAGGAGGAGCAGCATGGACATCACCAATGAGGAGGAGGGGAAGGAGAAGACAACCTGGGTAGCCTGTTGCTCTTCAATGATTACAACCAGGAGGTTGGCACAGGTGAGTGGTGATTGCTACAGGAGCTAGGTCATATGGAGCAAGAGTGGGCAGCATCTCAGTGGTTTCCCAACCACAGTCTCAGCTCCTCAAGGTGCCAGCACAAGTACAACTTCATCAAGAAGGCTGGCTGAGTGGCACATGCAGCAGATCACAGCAGCCATGACAACATGGTCAGGGCCTTGGACACCATCCTGGCCATGTTGGAGGAGCATGCCTTGGTCATGGTCATTGGTGATGAGGAGGGGTGGGACATGGCTTCCTGCCTGGTGGAGGATGAGGCTTCATTCCTGATGGAATGCAAAGGCCAGGTCAAGGAGGCCTGAAAGAAGGCTCAGGGCATCCATTGGCAGAAGGGCAAGCCCAAGGTTTTTCAGAACGGCTGGAGGAGGGGGAGGCCTGGTCAGGCACAGGGAGCCTGGCCAGTCAAGTTGGCTTCAGCAGCATCAACATCGCTCCCTCCAGCTGCAAACCCTGGCAACAATTCCAAGTCAAGGACAAGCACAAGGCTGGCGTGCTTTGTGTGCAGCAGCCTGCACCTGGCCAAGAGCTGCCCCAAGAAGTTTGGAAGCAGCAAGTAGAGGAGGTCAGGTTGCTGGAGGACATCAGTGAGGTCAGCAATGAGGAGCAGCTTGTGGCCTGCTGGGTCGAGGAGATCAAGGAGTTCACCCCAGTGGTGGCTGAGGTGCCTTCTGTTGAGGATATTGAGGAGGAGGAGGAGGAGGAGGAGGAGGAGGAGGAGGAATCTGGTTCCCCAGCCAGTGAGCCTGCTGGGGCAGCAGAGGGACCAAGAGCTGGCAAGATCATGGTTGCTGGTTGGCTGGCAGCCTGAGTCCAGGAGTGGGTTGCCATTGGAGCCTTGGCCCAGGTGCTGGCATGGGTGGGCAATGGCGTGCCCATCCAGCTGGTGAGGCCCATTTGTGAGACCTGGCAAAGCTACAGCCTCCAGGCAGAGCAGCAGGCGTGGATTGAGGTGGAGGTTGAATGGTTGTGGCGCATGGGCGTGGTTGAGTGGATGGGCACAGGCAGTGAGCAACCCATGGGGATTGACTTTGTCTGCCCAATCATGTGTGTACCCAAGAAGGGACTGAAGTGCTGGTGGATGGTCCACAACCTGCATGACCTCAACTGTGGTCTGGTGCTGAGGACCGTGCACTTTGAGGGTCTGGCTTCACTGGCATGGATGGTCAGCGCCAGGTGGTGGCTGATCTCCTTTGATCTGGCCCAGGGCTACCACCACATGCTGATGGAAGAGGATGCACACCAGTTGCTGGGCTTTAAAGTTGGCCAGCACTGGTATTGCTACCATGTCCTGCTGTTCAGCCTCCAGTGGTCACTGTGGATTTTCATGAAAGTGGTCAAGGCTGTGACAACCTTCTGGTGGTGCCAAGGGATCATCTGCATGGCCTACATCAATGGGAGGAAGCAATGCCGTCCTGACACAGATGGTCAAGAGAGTGTGGATGGCGCTGCAAGCAAGTGGCTGCGCGAATTACATGGCCCGGTGGATTCATGGGGCGACCAAGAACCAGGAGGCCAATGCACTGTCGCGGCTGGACAACCCCGACGACTGGACACTGCTGGGTGAGATGGTGGAGCTGCTGCAGGCCTCACTGGGCGACTGGCAGGTCGACCACTTTGTGGAGGCCTCCAACCAGAAGGCGCCAGCCTTCAACTTGCGCTTTGAGAGCCCAGGCTGTCAGGCTGTTGATGTGTTCAGCCAGGATTGGAGGGGCTGGGTCAACCTCCTGGTGCCCCCGATCCCGCTGGTGGGCCAGACCCTGGCACACCTAATCGAGTGCCAGGCGGTATCCTGGTCATGCCTCACTGGCCAGGCCAGGAGTGGTGGCCGCTGCTCATGGCCGTGTCGGTGGCTATGGTCTGGCTGGGGACAGCCTGCGAGTTCACCAGGCCGGGTCCGTTGGGAGCGTTCGAGCTGGCGCGGCGGCCAGAGTGGACCTTTGAGGCCCACCGGGTGGATGGACGGCGGCTGGTGGGCTGGAGACCGCCGCTTGCCGCTGTGAGGAGCTGGTGGGACTAGCGCGTGCAGAGTCCATGCAGCGCTGCTACAAGTGCTGGTGGCTGGAGTTTGTCGGGTTCGCCGATGGGGTGGGGCGCATGGCGTTGCTGGCCACTGAGGAGACAGCGGGGTGCTTCTTCACCCAGCTGGACCTCAATGACAGGGGCGGCGTGCGAGTGGCGGCAGTGGCGATTGCCATGCAACATGTGTGGAAGGGCCTGCCCAGTCTGTGCGCAAGCGCCAGGGTCAAGCTCATCATCGATGGAGTTGAGCGAGTGTGGAGTGCGTGGACAGCCAGGCGGCAGAGGGACCTGTTTCCCGTCGAGGCGCTTCAGGCGTGGGTCCAGGGCCGTAAGTTCGTTGGTGGTTCCGTCATGGCACTGAGGGACGCGTGCCTCGTGGCGGTTGGCCTGCGTACGATGTGGTGAGGTTCAGAGCTGGCCGCGTTGTGGGTCGAGGATGTCACAATGGATGGTGAGTGGGCCTGCGTGTGGGTGTGCAAGGCCAAGAATGATCAGCTGGGCCATGGGCACAAGGTCTTCATCAACGCGATGGGCTCTGCAGCTTGTCTGGTGTGGCTGCTCAAGGAGTGGCTCAGGGTGCGTGGCATGAGGCCAGGCTTGCTCTTCATGGCCTGTGGTGGGCGGCCCTTGTCGACCAGTGCCATCAGCGCCGTGTGCCAGTGGATGGTGGCGGCCGTGGGACGCCCTGAGGTGGTCATGTCTCACTTGTTGTGCATTGGCGGCGCGATGGTGGCCGTGGAAGGTGGCCTGACCAGGGAGCAGGCCATGACCATCGGTGGATGGGAGTCGGACGCCGTGGATCACTACTTGCAGGCTCATGAGCTGGTGGCGGAGGGCGTCTTGCGTTGGATGGGGTTCTGATGAGCGCAGCGTGGCATGCGGTGGTTGGCATGACAAGGAACGTGGTTCTTGTGTCTTCTCTGCCTTGCTTGTGTGAGTGCATGTGCGTGTCTGCCCCATCACTCTCTGTGATCACACCCATTTGTCAGCAGCAGCGGCGTTGGCAGCAGCAAGTGCTGACGAGTGATAAATCATTTTTAACTCCACACATTCCAAGTTTTTAAAATAAGTTGACACCTGACTCTGCAAGTGTCATCAAACTCAGCCATGACCATGTGCAGTGCTCTAAGATGTCCCTCATCATTGATTACCTGGCAGATGAGCCCAAGGCATGGGGCTGTCTGCACCAGCTGCCTCTACTGATATAGGGCAGCCTACACACTCCCAGACAATCATGGCAAGTGGCTTGGTCAGCTATGCACCAATGGAATGTGTGCACCCTTGGCTTCCTCAGCCAGCTTATCTATCTGGGCTACTTCCATGAGATTAAGCTCTCAACATTAGCCAGACTAAAATGCCACTTTCATTTTTGGGGGGTACTGAACTCAGCAAAAAAGTGCATCAAGGAGCTCCTAATGATACCAGTGATGATGGGTATGGTATCACACCAGTGATGCAGGCCTGGTATGATTGCACCATCAGTGGAATGGAGCATTTATGGGGAGTAGGTGGCATGTGTGAGTGTGTTGTCATATGTGGGGTGGGGTCAAGTTGAAGAGGAGGATGAGCTCTGGAAGTGGGTGGAAGCATGTGCACTCCACTGATGCAGCAGGCAGGCCTGGAGGATGGTTCTCTTGGTGATGTGAGGAAGCTTGGCATGAGGTGAGCACAATGCTGCACCATGCTGTTTTTTAAGTGCTGTTTTGTCCTTGGTGGCAACCACTGTGTCAAGGTTTGTTGCCTGATGATGCTGCAGTGATCAAGACCCAAAAAGCCCTAGGGAAAAGCCCTGTGGAAAAATTCAAAAACACGTGTGATTGCTTTTTAGACATGTTTCATGTTTCAGTTGGGCTACTCATTTTTGGCAAAAACACAGAATGATGGCTTGCGGACAGTAGTTCCTAAATTGGTAGTAGTGCCTTATGGGGAAGAAGGGTTCAAAGACCGGAATGACACCAGTCATTTCCTCCTCCCCGTAAACTAAAGACATAGCCAGGAGCTCTAATAATAATAATAATACCATGTCACCACCTCACTGCTCGTCTCGCTCCTGCTCCTCGTCGTCGTCGTCCTCATCGGCCTGGCCTCGGTGTCAGGAGAGTCGCTCGACGCTCCTTACTGCCCGGTCATGTATCAATCTCAGGACGGCAACCCTCCGGCTGGCCTTCCGACTGGGGCTACGCCTCCACCGGAACCTACTACACCACTACGATCAGAGATTCCTTGAAATCCGAGTCGCAGACCTTCGCCATCTGCGCGGGCTCCGGTTGCGGACCGGCTTGCTGCTGGCACGCCAACGGGTTCGCCTTCTGGGCCTCCACGGGGCCGAACGTCTCGTCGGAGGCCATCCCGGTCCCCTCCTGCTCGGTGAACATCAACTTCAACGGCGACAGCAGGACCTACACGGTCGACCCGGTCAAGCTCGAAGCCATCAACTACGTCGGCGTCGACGGGTTCATGGCCAACGAGGGCAACTGGGTCAACGCCGCCATCACCTGCAACACCCCCGTCATCGGGATGTTCTCCTACAGCAGCTTCGGCCTGGCCAACACGTGCGGAGGCATCCCCTCCCCCGGCCCCATCTGCTCGTGGACACCCCTTCTCAGCAACGCGCAGAACCCCTGGGCGGCGTTCTACGTGGACCGCCGGTGCAACGCCGAAGAGATGATGATGGCCTACGGCAACAGCACCGCCCCGCACGACGAGCTGTCCTCCGGCACCTTCGAGACCTGCGCCGCTCTCTTTAACTGATCGAAAAGGAGAAGAGGAGGAGCTCGACATGTCTGTGCCAGTCCTTGATTAAAATCCTTTATTATGACATAATGATAAAATTGATATTGATCTTGATATTGATATCACGCCTAGTCCGTGACCCTCATGATCTCCGAATCATCAAACCGTTTAACTGCTAAAGTGGCAACCTAGTGGGGTGGTCGGGTGAAAGAAGATGATGGGCAGGGTGGCAGTGAAGAACGCATCTGGGTGGCGGTGAGGAACGCGGGCGAAGAAGATGAAGGCGTGGGTGGCGAAGAAGAAGATGGGACATGTGGCGGTGAAGAAGAAGAAGAAGAAGATGGGGCGTGGGGCCTACCTCCACCGCAGGTGAACCGCGGCTACAACGATGGCAGCAGCCAAGAGGGCTGCGAGGGTGAAGCTGCCCACCAGGGCGAGGCCGATCACTGCCGCGTGGTATCTCCCCGCCGCCGTCGTCGCCGGCTGCGGCTGCTCGTCGTCGTCGTCGTGGGCGTGCACGGTGCAGGCAAAGGCGAACTCGACCGTGAAGGTGGTGTTGACGAGGCGGCTCCTGGACACCACGCGGTAGGTGCCCGGGGTGAGCACCGGCCCAGCGACGGCCACGGTGCCGCGGTCGAGCACCACGTCGGGCATGGGCTGCGGCCCGGTGATGGAGATCACGTGGTCGAGCAGGTCGCGGTTCTCGAGCACCACCACGTCGCCCACCGCCAGCCGCTGGCCCGCGAGGCGCCACGTCCGCGCGTCCACGGCCTGCGACTCCACCAGGCGCAGCAGGTGCCTGGTCGGCGCGCTCCTGTAGGCGCCGGTGCGCGGCGCCACGCGGGTGACCACCGCCGGGTCCGTCGCGGCGTGGAAGTGGGTCGTCTCGAACCAGGTGTGCACGTCGTCCTTGGCCTCCATGACCTCGCAGCAGTGGTCGTACGACGCGCGGTTGTTGGCGTTAACGTTGTTGTTGTTCTCGTCGGCGTAGACGCAGCGATCGCAGCTGTCCCTGATCTTGCGGTTGAAGCGCACGCTAAACCAGACCGACACGGCCGAGCGCTCGGCCGATTGGAGCACGTACTGGCCCGGCTCCGTGGAAACAACCCTGAGGCTGTTACCCGGCAACAGGTTGGCGTAGTAGGCAACCGCCTTGGCCCCAGAGCCGTCGACCTTCACGAGCCAGAACGTGTAGTTGTGGCCGAGATGCAGGTTGGTGACGAGCAGGGTCTCGCCGGCCTCGAGCGCGTTGTCCGACAGGACCACCGTGTCAAAGTCGCGGATGACGACGGTGGCCTGGGCGAAGGGCAGGAAGCAGCACGTCGTGTTGTCGCCGCCGCACACGCCGCACAGGTCGTGTACCGCGCCTGAGTTGGGCACGCCGTCGCAGCCGGCGCACTGGGAGTTGTCGCCGCCGCACACGAAGCACTTGTCCAGCTCCTCGCGCTCACACACGCACGCTCTGACCGCCGAGCCGCCAAATAAATCCATATAATAGCACATTATTAGAAATGTTGTTGTTAGCATGATTAGCATAATTATAATTAATAGAATTAAATTAGAATTAATTGAACTGGGTTCGTACGGGTCGGTGGGGAGGCGCTCGCCGAAGCACTGGCCGGCGCAGTCCTTGGCGGCGTTGAACTCGCGCCCGGTGGTGCCCAGCACGCACTGACCACACTCGTCCACCACGGCCTTGCCGCCGCACACGCCCGTGCAGTCCTTGCCCGAATTGGCCACGTGGCCGTCGCCCTCCACATAGCACACGCCGCACTCGTCGCGCGTCGCGTTGCCGAAGCACGTCCCTTGGCAGTCCTTGTGTGCGTTCGGCTGCAGAATGGACCCAATCATACGTTACTGACGAACTAAATCATGACGAGCTGCAAACACGGATGTGGCTGGGGCGCAACGAACCGAAAGACCAGAGCGGCCACCGACGCAAACGCCACAGTCGCCGATGAAGGCCGTGCCGCGGCACGTGTCGGCGCAGTCCACCCAGTAGCCATCGCCCCGGTGGTAGTCGGCCGGCGCCACGCACATGTCGCACGGATTGCGGCGCGCAGGGCCGTTGCACACGCCCATGCAGTCCGCAACAGCCCCGTCTGCGCACTTGACTGCTTGCTCCTCCTGCCGTCACACGTCAGCGGCGCGCTACACGAGAAGCAAGAAGAACGAAGAACGAAGAACGAAGAAAGAAGACGAAGAACGAAGAAAGAAGACGAAGAACGAAGAAGAAACGACGCACACGAACCAGGCCACGTGTTCGGCCGGGTGGGAGGCAAACGCCATTGATCATCGTGGACCTGCCATTGCACACGCCCGCGCAGTCGGATACGGCAGATCCGTGGCAGGCACCGCTACAGTCCATCGACGCACCGGGCGCTCGGCCGGTGGTGCCGCCCGCGCACTCGTGGCACTCGTCCAGCGTGGCGGCGCCGTAGCACACGCCATTGCAGTCGATGGCCGGGTTGGGAGCGTAGCCCGGCGCCATTGGGTCGGCGCACACACCGCACGCGTCCACCCGAGCCGTGCCGAACCGGGTGCCCTGGCAGTCGCGGCACGACGCGCCGTCGCCGCCGCACACGCCGCAATCGTCCATGACGAGCTCCGACGGCGCGACCAGCACCACGCCGTGGACCGCCGGGTTATTGGATTCGTGCCACAGGTAGAGGCCCGGGCTGAGAAACCGGTGCGGCATGCTCGCCGCGCCCGGCGCCAGCACCGCCGATGGCCCGTCGGGCCTGGCCACGACCGGCGCGAAGTTGAAGAGCCCCGGGAAGACGTAGCCGGCATCCGGGGTCGAAGGGTTAGCGCAGCGCTGGAAGAAGGCGTCCTCCGCGGAACATTCCTCGTTAGAGCGCGCCGGCTGCGACGACGACGACCGGCGGCAGAGGCAGCGAACAGCAGCGGCGACGGGCGAGCTCCTCGTCCCCCTCGTACCTCGCGGCCGGGTCGAAGGCCGCACGCCTCACCTCGGCGGTCATTTGTGATATAGCCTGGTGGGTGGGTGGGTGGGTGGTGCCGAATGCCAGTAAATAGTGCGTCTCGTTGTGTGTGTGTGTGTGTGTGTGTGTGTGGTGTGCGTGGTGTGCGTGGTGTGCGTCACCTCTTCTTCTTCGGGCAAGAGC